ACACTGATGGATGGTGACTGCAATGCGATATGGGGCGGGTGTGACTTGATAATAAGGGTGAATGTAATAACCACATTGTTTTTCATGGGAAACCTTCATAAGAGTGTATATCAATGATACCTTAATAATAAAAAAAAAGACAGTAGATACTCAATGAATGCTTCTTAACTGGGTAAGTCAGAAAATGCTGATTAGAGGATCCCAGGTGGGGATAGGTGGGGAACCAGCTTGGGATGTTAAGGGTCTGTGGAGAGAGAAACTGTAGCTTGAACCAGGAGGTCTCCTTGGAGGAGCAGGCACCAAGCAGCAGAACTGAACACAGAAGCCAGGCTTGTTGGATAAGCAGGGTGGGGCAGAAACTGCAAGCTGCCTACTCAGGATCTATTCTCCCCTTTTTCTTTAGTAACACAACCTACATTTTAATCTGGGTTGCAATGTGCCCAGCTGGAAGACTACATTTATCAGCCACATTAGCAGCTGGCATGACCACTGAGGTATAAGCAGGGTTGTTGGGTGGGTCTTCTGTGAAGACTCCTTAAGAGGGGTTAGACTACGGATGTGTTGATGTTTTCCCCTTCTCCCTTCCTTCTGTGCCTCCTGGAGCAAGAAAATCAATGTGATGGCTGCCACCTCGGACCAGGAAGTGGGTTTGGGGATGGAAGTCATATGCTAAGAAGGGCTGAACAAAAACAGAGCAAACCTGGAACCTTGGTGATATGTAGCTCCTATACTGACCAGACTCTACTCACATGAGAAAGAAACAAGCGTCTGTCTTGCTGGAGCCATTGTTATTTCCTCATTCATATGGGACGTCACAAGAGTAGGGATCTTGGGAAGGCTTTGAAGAGTGAAAAATTAGGGATTTTATTTGTTTTTTGGTATGTTTATTTAAGTTAAATAAGCTGTAAGATAAAGGTGACTTAAAATGACAAAATATAGTCTCTGAGCTCAGTAATAAAAAGGAATCAAGGAGTTACATATTATTGTGTTTTGTATTTATTTGGCTTAAATAAAAAAAGGCTTTGTTCTCTCATGTGATTAAAAAGTCCAGAGGTCAGGTGGGCTTCAGATAAGGTCCAATAAATTAGCGGGACAAATCAACGATGACAACGACAGATCTTTTGGTCTCTTCTTAGTCTCCCATGGTACTGGCTTTATTCTTAGATGGTCTCATCTGATGATCACAAGATCCCGGAAGCCCTTGGCAAAGTCTTCTTGCGTTTGAATCAGCTGGCCATCCCCAAGTCAATCGCTGGTTAGGGTGCTAGGACAATGGAGCCCACTGGATGGCTTAAGCCCACCAAGGTCCACCCAGAGAGTTGCAATGGGGTCAATCCCTCTCAACTGCATGGCTGGGATCCTGCTAGGAATGGGGAAAAAGAGAAGGCCTGTGGGGAGGCCACCCTATGTTCTATCTCTCCTGGCCATCTTCATCAGCCTGCATTATTTAAAGCACTTCAGTTTTGTAAAAGGCAAAGGTCTCTTGCTCTTAAATGAATTTTTTTTTGCCTGAAAGCCAATATTAGTTTGGGTTAAGGCATGAGGTTTCCAGAGAACTTTTGTTAGTCTTATTTTCATTTCTTAATTCAACACTAAACATTTCTTGGGTGCTGGTTGTGTGTTGTAAGATCAGCAGGTCTTGCCTGAGAGGATGGGCACATATGAAACACATACTAGGCTCAGTGGTACTAGCACTTGGGGGCACACATCCTCTTTAGGAAGGTCAGGAACCAAGCACAAGGACATGGGAAATAGGGCAGGTAAGTCTTGCTAGTGATAAGGGAATGGGACCAGCAGATGGGCCCGGGAAACTGCATCTGTGTGAGGCCCTGGCAGGTTTTCAGTTCCATGAACCTGAGGAAGGCAGAGTGGGGTAGGGAGTGCATATGGGGGCTTCATGTGATGCCTGTTCTGCAGGCTGACCAGGGCTGGCTTTGGGGTTCTGACTCTCTGGTTAGAAAGTCTCTGGGGAGAGGATGGGTAGAGTTAGTGGTTTTTTATTTGGGCTTTAGGAGTGTTTGGGGGATAAAATTCTAGGAAGTAAGAGTGAAATGCCTGAAAGTCTCAGGAAGAATCTTTTGCAGTCCAGCTAGCTGGCTGCTCTCCTCAACCTGCAACAGCTTCTTTGGGGGTGGCTGGGGTGGGGATGGGGTTCAATGTCTCATGATGCAATTCTTTTTCCTGCAACAGTCAGAGAATAAGAGTTTTATAACCCAAATCATTCACAGCATGGTATTTGTCTATTTAAAGTCATCTCCCACGGGGTTCAATTAACAATGTACATGTCAAATTATGTCACACCCATTACTTGCTCCAATTTGGTTAGGCTGGGTCAGGCAGTCCCTGAACTGATGCGGCTGTTACCTCTCAGCAGGCAGTCACAGCTGTGTGACCCTAGCTGTCCTTGGCAGAAGCTGCATCACAGTATAGCACCCACTAAAAAATGCACGGCTGCTACATGAAAGGTCCAGCTCATGACGACAGTGGCCTGTTATCCACCCACTTTGCCCCTAGAGACTGAAATACGTGGATTTGAATCCTGGCTCTGTCATTTAGCAGCATGTGATCTTGGGGACATTCTTTAACTTTTCCGAGCCTCATTTCCTACATATGTAAAATGGGAATAGTCATAACACTACAGTTACAGGGCAGTAGCAAGGATTAAATTCAATAATGCATGTAAAGTGTTCGGCAGGATGCCTGGCACTTAATAAGAATTCAAAGCTAACTATTTATTAATTTTTAAATCTTGTTCAGTCCTTCAAAACTGAGGATCTTCCCAAGATCCCCCACAGGAAATATTTCACCAGCCCTCCTGAAACCAGGAGAGCCAGGCAGCCTTTCCTGGGGGGCATGCAGTGTAGCCAGAGGAACCACCACCACAGCACTGTGACACCAGAATTATTCCAAATGTGGCAAGAGCAGCCTTGACTTTAAGAATAGCTCTGTGTGAGTCCGGAGAGCCTTTTTCTCTGCCTGGGGAGGAATTACCACTGGGTGCCTTTGCGTGGCCATCCAAACAGCCGACAGAGCTCCAAAGAAGCAGGCATAAGGGTGCCAGCTCTTCTCCCCTTTTAAATAGAGGTAAACAGAGGCACAGAGAAACCTATAGACGCACACGCAGTTCTTTCCTCACCTCTCAAAGGACAAATGAAACTGTGATAATTATAAAGCTGGAAGCAGAAGCTCCTGCCTAGATGACCTGAGACTGAGGCATCTGGGTCATAAACCACCATAGAAGCCAATACTGGGGAAATTATCTGGGTTACTTTACGTGCGCAAAGACCATGCTTCGTAGCCTCTTCCACATCCAAAATCCCTGGGGTAGTCTGGTGGGCCATTTGTGGGTACCTCTGGGACACATGTTGCAGAAAAAACTCAGAATTATACTCAAAAGACATGTACTGTTACCCAAGTCTTGCCAAACCAGCTGTGCAGCCTTGGAAAAGTTACTTAACCTGGGACTATACCTCCGAGTGGGAGTGAAGGCTTTGGATGACATCAGTGTTTCCCAAATCTGATTCCTTGTGAGAATCACTGCATGTGTCTGTTGGGAGCTGAGGGAAGGGGGGTTGTTGGGGAGGAGAGCTGGAGCCTGGGAATCAGTATTTTGAAAGTGTTCTAAGTGATTCTGAAGAGTAGTGACTGTTGGGAACCCTGGACAGATGCTGTCTGTGGAATCCCAGTTCCTTGGAGCTCCAAGGCACCTTTCAGCACATCCCACACAATTCCACACAGTCCAGCCCCAAGGAGAGGGCAGCCCTCACACTGAACACCCATGCAGAAGTTGGTGTGTAATCCAGGGAGCAGCCAGCACAGCCACACATTGGTTGGTGCCATGCACGTGAGCTCCAGCTCTGGGTCCTGCCTGCTCTGGCCAGCTTGGCTCTGGAGCCAGCGAACTGAACTTGTGTGGGGCCAGTGGGGCCCTGGCGCTGCCTGTGGCCATCCACTGTGCGCTCTGCCGCCTGGGCCTCCTCTCCACTGTGCTGCAGTCAGGACACCCAATACACCTGCCCTGAGTCTGGAAAGCACAGGAGTCCCACAAGCCTGCCTTTGCACCCTTGAGGCTGGCATCCTTCATGTGAGCTTTTGAATTCAGTCATGTGTCTCCCTTCCTTCAGTCTTAAAGAAGTCCCTGTTTGAATGAGGAACTACGGAGTGCTGAGGCTAAAGCTGCCTTTAGCTTTTTCAACAGTTTCCATTAGGGGTTAATCCTGACATTCTTTGGCCTTAGTACATGGGCAGGAGACTTTTGTGTTTAGGTGGGAGTCAAAGTAGGAATAAATCATGGCTCCTAGGGTTGACTTTGATCCAGGAAGTGTGTGTCTAGACTCCCTCGGAGTGGCAGAGAGAACAGGGGAGCGGGGCTCCATGGGGGAGCTTCCTCGTGGCCCCTCCCGCCTACAGGGCCCCAACTGGGGGGCGGCTGCGTGCCTGTGTGCTGGCTTATGGGGCCGGCCACTACTTGCCCTTGCCCATTGTCGCCACACACCACTGAGTGTTGCCAACACTTCTGATTCTTGAAAGAAGTCAGAAATCTGAATTTACCCGAATTTGCCCAATAGTAAAATGCTGACACATTTAATTAGAAAATTCATCAGACCAAGCAAATCACACCTTGGGGTCACAGAGAGCCTGGCCTCAGGGCCTGGCCTGGGAGTGCTCTCAGAGTCTGCTCCCAAATAAGCAGAATCCGCAAGGGAGGTTCTTAAGTCTCCAGGGCTAAATGCACCTCTACATGGTGTTTTCCTTTGTTGGAGGGAAAGGAAGGCTCTGGCTTTCTTGAGCCCTAGAAATCCCCTTTCTTTGCTGCTGTGTAACCCCCGCTGCAGCGCCATGGCCCTGCAGTTCCCTCCATTCCCTCTCCCTCCATCTGCCCCCCAGACAGACAGCAGCCCTGAGGTGTGACACCCCAGGACACACACCATGCCACCACCTCCTCTTCCATGCCAGAAAACACTCAACCCAAGTTGCAGAGGGGCACGTTATGACATGAACAACCCTGTGCTATCATTTATTTTTTAAAGGTAAATCACTTATATACTTTGGTACTCTATCAGGAATAATTTATTCATGACACATGTCATAGTGGATGAACAGTGGCTCCAGAATTTCTATGTAGAAAAACCTTGTGGGTGACATTTTATTTCGAAGCAAGGACTTGCTGAAGGACTTCTCCTACAAGGTATATTAAATTATCTTTTTACTTAAATTGTACATTTATTTAAGACCAAAAGCCAAGCCTTTATGATTGGTCAAGACATAAGCAAGGACAGTGAGATGGGTAGAGACCCCCTCCTTCTGGATGGGGAGGCAGGTGAGCAGGATGAGGTCCCAGAACAATCCAGGTGAAGTGTAGGTCCTACAGCTCAAGAAAATGTTCAGTTTGGAGACTGAGGGTTTTAAGCCTAATCCCTGAAAATGTTCTAAGGAACATTTACCTTTCTTACCGCCAGACTGGCCATTCTGGATAAAATCAAACCTGCTCCTTGGCAAAGGTCAGGGATGATGGCAGCAATGTCTCAGACACCAGTTCCGAAGGGCTCTTTTCCCCAGGCAGCCAGATGGCTCATCATGACCAACACATAGTCCTCCTGGCTGAGGGCCCTGGTTCCTTGGCAGCACGTGCCCTGGGGGACAGGGACTTAACCCCCAGAGTGTGTGTTAGGGGATCTGCCCATGGTCCCCGTCTTAGGATCAGCAAACCCAAGGGATACCAGGGAAGATTTCTTTAGAGTTCACTTCAAAGTGACTTCTAAACTCTGGAAAAGTAGAATAAAATGAAACCCTCATTACTGGCCAGAAAGTGGCTGAATTCTCTCTCACCATAATGCTACCATTTGGTAGTATTTCAAGTAGGTGATCTGTGTATAAACCAGAGGCTTTCAAATATTTTAAAATAAATGAATAGACAAACAAACCAAGTAAACAAACAAGACCCTTCACCAAAGTGGTGGTTCTCATCCTCATCCCAATACTGGCCTCTCTCGCCCAGCATTCCCTTCTGGAAAATGGTCATCAGCTGCTGGCAGGACCTTGCACTGGTCTCACTTAAATGTAGCTGGTAATAGAGGGTTTGATGACACTTTTTTCTTTAACTTCTTAAGTAGTAGTGATTCAACACTGAAAGGCAACATTATGTTTGTGGCTTATATTTCTCCCCAGGAACAAAAATCTGGTGGGACTTACATACAGTTATGGACATACACACAGGAATGCTGGACTTGCCTTCAGAGCTATGCACAATTATTACTATTTTCTAATTGGAATGTGTTTGGGGGACAGCAGGGAGAAGAAAGCCACTGCCACAGCAGAGGTAGTCCACTCTGCGGCTTCCTCTGTCCTAAGCCACCTCCCTGCAGTCGCCCCTGGTGTGCACTGTGCTCACTGTCACCACTGCTTCTGCCTGCCTCGCTGAGCTCACCCCCAGTGACTGCTTCCTCTTCCTCCCTGGCCAGGACGTCCAGAGCGGACATGCCCGAGCATCTTCAACACCCTGCCACAAGGCCAGAGGCGGGTGGTAACACCTAGGGCAGGTCTGAGGTTGGGGGCCACTTCACAGGATGACCATCTTTCTACTTCTCATCTTTGTTTAGAACTCCATTGGATTTCTTTGTCTCAAACGTCTTCATTGGTCTCCAGATCTCCTGGTTTGCTATGTCTTAGTCTGCTAATCACAGATGATAAGGTGGTAGATGAGACAAGAGGTTTGGTAACATTCATTCCTGGTTATATGAGATGTGTGCAATTTCTCAAGATGTATTTAACCTGTGAAAGAACAAAAATTTCACCAGGTATATTTAAAGATCTAATCATTTATTCAATGATTCATGAATTAGGCAACATCTGAGCTTTTATAAGCAGAAAATGGGTGGGACAAGGAAGTTATTAGTGGAAGAAAAGATGGTGTCATACAAAGTCACCTTAGGGGGAAGGGAAGGGGGTCTTAGGCCAGTTACTCACTAGTGCTGATCAGAAAATGTCAGAGTGATTGGTTTAAAATTTCACTTCTGTGAGAGACTGAAATTACAGTTGGTTTAGGTATTTAAATCTTAGTGGGGCTTAACATAAGTGACACCATTATGGGCCTGTTTCTTTTTAACAAGCCTAAATACTTGCATATACAGCATCCTGAGAACAGAGAGTGACTTTTTAGTTTTTATTTTGAAAGAGTAACAGTAATCCAACAAACACATATCGCCTGAGAACATTTACTATGTTCCAGGCATTCTGGCAAAGACCATGGAAGTCAGTGTCAAAAAGTCCCCTCCCTCTAGAGTTCTACAGTATAGTGGAAAGAGATTCTTGCTAAAAGTAGAAACCCAAAATACTGTTGCTTCTCGTGTTAAGGTCCTTATGTTCAGGGGTAAGTAACAGCCTGTCAAGGTGGGTAAGCAGCATGGAGCCATGGGCTAAATATCGTCCACACCTTTTTGGAATCAGAGGCCCTCAAAGATTTGGAGGGAACAGTTTTTCTTTTTTTAATTAAAATAACCACAAACCTATTCTGGAATAGTGTGCAAAAATCATATAATCTACCCCACCCCCAATTGCAGCCCCTCCTCACCGTAGTCTCTTCAGTGCAAAGGGGGCTGCTGCTTAAGACCAGGGATGGAGGATGGAGAGAGGACCCAGGGATGGAGGATGGAGAGAGGACGGAGGACGTGGTGATGGACAGGAGGGAGCAAGCAGGGGCCAGAGCGTGGGCTGGAGAGCCGGCAGAGGCACCAAGAGGTGAAAACCACAGAAAGCATCCTGCTGAAGAGAGGTTAGGTGTATTGCTGTGGAGGCCACAGGCCCTAGGTTAGAGGCAGAAATACAGAAATACCTTTGGGGACACTGTCAACTTCAGTAGCTCTTCACCCTGTGTCGGAAATGGGAGACAGACATTCACCAAGAACCTCAGACTGGCAGGAGAACCAGTCTTTGAAGTAACAGAATTCCTCTCAGCTCAGCCTTGTCTGCTCTGAAGTTCTTGTCCGCTCTCCTCAGGAAGTGGGGAGGCTCTCAAGTGACTGAAGCAGAGAAATTTCATAGACCAGAAAGAGCCAAGGGTAGCATGCTATGCACTCCAGCCTGTCAGCCTGGCAGGAAGCTCTGCTGAGTAACTTTGGTTTTAGTTGGAAACCTTCTGTCATGTTCCTGTTGAGGCAGCAGTCAGGGGAATGTGGTTAGATTTTCTCCGTCCTTGTAATGGATGAGGACAGTGGGGTGGGGAGATGAAGAAATGGACAAGTGGAGAAGTGACCTCACGAGGCGGTTGAGTCATGCAGAGGGTTTTATATTCACAAAAGCTTTTGTGCTGTGGGGAGAACAAGGGGCATTCGCCTACTGATCAGGCCACTAGAGATTCCAGAGGAGGGACTTGCCCACGCCTCCTGACTTGTGGCTTTAATTATCAGTTAGTCTTTGGTTTACTGTCATCCCAGTTTAATAAGCTTGACTATGACCTGTGAGCAAGAGCAAAAACAGAAACACCACTCTGGGCTGTCCAGCATGGTGAGGCTGGATCCTCAGAGCCACTAGCCCTGGAGAGGTGGGGACTGCTGACCTTTTCTTTTCTTTCTTTGAAGCTGTGATCTGGAACATGGCCTTAGGCACTGGCCCAGCCAGTTAAACTGGAAAAATTTAGGAGCCAACTGTTTCTAACTGCTCAGAGAAAATTTTCACAGAGCAAAGCAGAGCCCAATTTACAAGCCAGGGAGGGTGTGGGACCTGGACAGCACTGGGCTGCTCACCCCACTGGGAAGCGGCAGATCTCCAGAACCCTGGCCCCCTGCTCAGGCCCTGGGAGGAATGGGTGTGTTGCTGCCGCACCCCCTTGGAGGCGAAGAGTCAGGTTTTTGTCCCCTGACCTTGGAGCAAAGCCTGAGGCTCAGTGGGCACAGCTCATGCTTCCATTTTGAGAAACCTGGTGATTTGCCATGAACACTCCGCTCTTTGTGTTTTGTACAACAGGATGGCCCTGCTGCTTACTCAGTGCAGTGGACAGTCTGGCTTCCAATTTCCCTCCAGAGCTCCTGACGGCTGTCAGTTTACTGTGACTCGCTGCCATTACATCTGCCTGGGTTTATATTCCCAGAATCATACAGAGCTGCTGAGATCCATCGCCCAGGCAAGGCTTTCAATAAAGAAGCTGCCAGGCCAGCAGGAGGGGAGCCCGCCAGTCCATCTGTCAGCATTTGAATACTTTCATCCACACACACTTCTTTTCTAACCACCCAGGCTATTTTAGTTCACCTCAACCAAGCAAGCCAAGGCGCCTGTTGGCCTGCCCCTCTAGGGAGAACGCCCCCGTGAGCACTCCAGGAGCCCCACCACACTGGTTTCTTTGTGAGGTCATCTCCGTGGTGGTTTCTGGGTACTCGGACCTCCTTCCTGGTAGCTTCACACAATCCGGTTTGCAGAGTTCTGAAAGTTCTTCAGTTCAGGAAAAATAGAAGGGCCTTCTGAGCTCTCTCCCTTGTGCTTCAGGTGCTGGAGGATTCCAAATCCCCAGGGGCTGCTCTGGGGATGCAGTATGGATGAGAGTTATTCAGGGTGGGCCCACCCAACTGGAGTCCTGAAGAGAAAGAATACCATTGTCAATTAGATCGGGGAATCCTGATGATTCAAAACACATATTTATATGTTAAACATTCTGAAAAGTCCTGTCAGAAAGACACTGTTTCCTTTTTTAAACCTACAGTTTCCCAAACCCAGGATGATACTGACCATGGAATCCTTTTCATATCATAACGACTTACATAACAAGGAATTTATTTATGCTTTTGAAATATATTTTAGGAAATGATCTAACAGTGGTTTTCAACCTAAGGAAGCACCTCAATCCTCAAAGAGCATTTGGATATAGGTGGGAGCATTTCTGGTTGTCACAAAGACGGGGAAGTGCTCCTGGTACCAAAGGTGGGGGCGGCGGCGGCGGCTGGGGATGCTAAACTCCCGGCAACGTAACAGGTCCTCAGTGAGCCCTAAGAATCGTCCTACCCCAAATGTCCCATGGAGAAGCAGTGGTTGCACAAATGCTCAGCATCGTTCTAAAACCCTCTTGTCAGGTTCAAACACCTGGTTGCTGTCTTCTCGGTCCCCTGGTTCCTTTCTTCCTCTTGCTGGGACTCCTGCATGGCGCTCCTGGGGGAGAGTTCACTCTCGGTCGTCCGTGCGTCTGGCACGATTTGGAGCTGACACGAGCAACCAGAGGGCAGAGCTCCATGGTTCCAGCTGCTCTGGAGAGAGAGAAGGGTGTGCCCAAGTGGTCCCTGGGGCATAAAGAAGCTGCTCACCCTCCTGAAAATGCTTGCACGTCACCTGGCAGGGGGAAAGGACGCCGCGTGGCTCAGGCTTACACAGACACTGTTGTTTAGCCAAAGTCAGGCGACCTGAGAAGGAAAGTGAGTATGGCGGGGGCAGCCCTCCACCCTTCCTTCCGGGATAAAGCAGTGAGGCACCCACATCCACAATCTGCAACTCAAATCAAAGGGTTCGGTGTGTCTCTGTTTCTGTCAACACAGAAACGCCACGGCAACCGGCAGGTGTTGCCTGAAACTGCAGAGTGTGTGTTTAACAAAACAAGGTGGCTCGTTGATACAGTCACCCCAAGCGACTCTGGCCTGGGCCCCGTGGCAGCAGGTCGTCCGTGGGGCGGCGGAGACTTCTGCAGGGCCGGCTGGGGTTCCGGGCCGCCACCCCCACAGGGAGGAGCGCGGGCGATTCCCGCCGCGGGAGGGGCCGCCCAGCCGCCCGCTGTCCGCCACCAGCCGCCGCTGCAGCGCGGGTGGAAGAAGTGAGTAGTTTGACTTTCGATAGAGAAATGTGATCACCATCAGCCTCCTATCCCACACAGCTGAAGAGTCAGAGCCTGTAAACTTGCTCCTTGCAGGCCCAGCCCCATTTCTGTTGTCCTGGCTGGCCTGTTAACATGCAAGACTGGAGGGTGTTTTCTGGAGCAGTCAAAATGATCCTCTCCCAGCCCAGAAAGTTACACATAAATTTCTTCCGCGCAGTTTGTGTTAACCCCTTACTCTTTTTCTCTCAGGATTAGTGTGGATAAAGGGAGTGGTGCATTTTTTAATTTTGAAAATGACCTTTAGGGCAAAGTCTTGTCAAGCATGCAGTCCAAGGCCCTAACTGACAGAGGAGGCAACCGAGGTCCAGTGAGATCATATTTAAAGTCACACTATTGGTGAGCTGCCAAGCCAGGCAAGAATCCCAGTACCCCAACTCCTTGGGTACTATGCTGCTCACATTCACTGTTGTTTTCCCTTCTATAATACCCACTGATGCAAAACGTTGTTGATTTTTTTCTGTGTTAAGAAGAATATTAAAACTTGGGGGAAGAAAAGCAAAAAGGCCTTTCAATATTCAATTAAAGCTATGTCTAACAAGCCTGTCTGGGGATTAACTGGTTCCCTATGGGAAGGTAACTTTGACTTATTAGTTACTGTTAGAGTCCAGACACGCATAACTCTTTAAAATTAGATGATACTATATAGAGACTTAAAATGTAAATGACTTTTCTGTTCAGTAGTGATGCAAATGATTTCTATCTGTCGGAAAGAATAACCTCAAAGGTCATAGTCTTGTTGCCCTGTAGGACATTAACCAGTTTTGTGTCTGACTTTGTGGTCTTTCCTCAGTGTTACTTTTTATTCCCAGTGCACAAAACCTTTGTTCTTTTATCTTCTTTTAAACCACTTTGTCACCCTACAGCTTCTCTCATTAATGAATTAATAAATCATTGGCACATACTCACCATCTCTTGTCTTCCTCTATCGTCCCCACCAATCCACTACCAGCTGAAATGCACACTAGCCTCCAACTGCTGATTCTCTGACCCAAGTGGAGCACATACATGCCATCAGGAGGACCTAGGGATATGTGCTCCCTAACTGTGCAGAATAAAAGCAGTCTCTAAGATGGTTAGACACAGACTAGAACTGTCAAAAGTGTAACCTATTCCCCTCCCCTCTTATCTTTCAATCATGCCATGTCTATGAGCAGGGGCTGGGGGCCTGGGCCTTCAGGCCACCAGCTGTACCCTCAGGCCCTCCTCAGAACCTTTGTCCACACACAGTCATACCTACAACCCCACCCCTAGGCCATGCACCTGGTCCAAGTAGCAGCCCACTCACTGGTTGGTCGCCTTGACAAGGAGATGTAGAAGGCACAGCTGGTAGAAAAGGAGACAGAGACAAGGCAGGCATTTCAGGTCCTGAAGCAGCAGGCACTTAAACAAGCAGCAGGAAGAGCAGAGGCAGAAATGGAATACCCAAGTTGTCCCAGTGGCAGAGCATTAAGGCAAGGATGGATGAAGCCTGCTGTTGAGCTGACCAGGAGATGGAATGTCTCTTTTTCAGAGCTGTGATTGATCTTGAAGTACTCTTGGTTCCACTGCTTTTAATTCCTCCCAACAGGTTGAGCCATGTGGCTTCTCCTGGGTTGCCATTAAACCCATCATTTATTGGGGCCCTTACTTTATTATCTGTGTGTGGCCTTAAAATCAAACCACAGTGCTGGAGGCAACTTAGTGGGTCTCTGCTCCTTCCAATCAAAACAGTTTGACTCACCTTCTCACCTTTTCCAATAATATGTTACATAATAATACAAGGGTCTTTATTGCCTTTTGTTCAGCCAGTTTCTGTCCAGGATCATCAATGATTTTCTAGGAAAAAGCAAGCTTCAATGGCAAGAACTTCCCTTCTCTCCTCCTTTCCTCCATTCATGTATGTCTGGTCATTCACTCATTCTCTCCTCAAGCACACCATGAATTCTGAAATGAGTAAGGCAACATTCATGCTTTGAAGAAAATCACAGTCTTAAGAGTGGGGTCAGTGCAGGAGTGAAGAGGGAGGATGGGTGCTGCATGCACCCAGGGTCAGGGCTCTGCAAATAGGGTGTCAAAGTGGGGTGGGGAAGGGCACACCCCCACCATGTGGCCTGCTCCAGCAGCTTTCTTCCTGCTTTCCCAGGAATGCTGGCTTTCATGCCTCTGGCCTGGAACCACATGTAAGCAAAGCCATATGTGCAACTTGGATTAATTAAATGGTGGCCTCAGCAAATTTCTGGGGCTGCTTCTGATACTATTCCTTTATAATATCTTTAGCATTTGTTACTGTGCAATATGTCTAACCCTGAGGCTCAAATTCTATTAGTCTGTAAAGCTTAAATGGTGAGAGACTTCTGGTTTTGAATTTTAAAAGTAAGGAGTATATTTTGGTTTACTCCATGAGAACACATCTTTTCTCTTCCCAGTTGGACCTGAGAGGGTCCACAGTTCTGATTTTTCTGGGAGATGGCTGTAATCTTAACTGAGTTTAGTAAATGGTGGAAGAAAAGGCTGTGCTGTAACCCCAAAGTTCTGATCCTCAGTTCTTAGCACCAAACTGTAGAAAAAATTAAATTTCGAATCTGGTTTCCAACCTCAGGGGTCTAAGCACCCAAGATGACAAGAGAGGAGGGAAAAGGTGGCGCCTTACCTAGGGCGGCACCTCAGGCTTGACCCCGCCCTATGTGGGCGGGTGAGGCCAGCATCCCTTGCCCAGCGAGCATGTGCACAGGGAAGGTGCCTGTGGGCCGGGGAGGCAGGGCGGCGCAGAGGCCCTACATGGTGCCTCCGCCCGGGCCATCCTGACACTCACCGGCAGGGACCCACACCAGCACTGCTGCGATATTGGCAGGTTAGGTCACTTTTATTTGGGGCAAGGTTGTCACCGTAGCAGAAGGTCCCAGCACCTTTTACAAGTCCCCTAAGCTGCAGGCCTAAGTCTCAACTTCCTCTTCTACAGTACACCACAGGGGACATGGTGGGGGGAGGGGGCCACTGTGCACACTAGTGGTAACTTTGGGGATGGTTTGAGGATGATTTGGGGTAGCGGGCAGAGATTACTTTCAGATCCTCAAATCTATGCATTTGGGCAGGGGCAACTTCCAGACAGAAACAGGGCACTCCTGGCTGTGAGGCCCAGATTTTCCTAAAGAGGGCACCTCCAGGTTTTGCCTGAGGCCCCCAGTCCCTGGGGGCAGGGGAGAGGCAGGTGCAGACTGCTATGCTCCCCGCCCAGTGGACTGCAGTGAGACCTGCCTGCACGCCTTGTTGGGCTGGATCTGCAGGGCCTGGGGTTCCCCATGGGCAAACCCAGCATGGGCCCCTCATCCACAGCCTAACTGCTGTGTACATCCAGCTCCTGTGTCTGGGGAGATCTGGACATGATCCCAAATAATTGGCTCCAGGAGATAGCGCCTGTATGGTTAGTTCCAAGGCCCTGCCCCATTGTACAGCAAGTGGCCACATCCTTAGCATCTCCCCTACCTAACTTGGACCCGTCTAGCTTTCAGCTTGGAAAAAAATGAATTCCTAACCTTATAGGCTCCATCTCCTTCTCTCCCTTCTAGTCTCTTTTCCTATGTCTCTCCCATGTGTGTGTCTCTAGTGATGACCACTGAAATTAATAAACCAGGTTTGCTTCTTGGGCAGGATTTAGGAAGTCCAGGTTCCCCTGGATGCAACAGATTTAAAAACTTTGTTTTGGCTGCTCAGCGTTGCCCTGATTTTAATTGGAGCATTGCCCCTCCCCTTCCCACTGTGCATGTGGTTCTGGTGAGGGGACCCCCACCCCACCTGGGCTCAGGACTGACAAGACACAGACCTGGCCAGTCAACATAGACAGGCCATACCTGACTAGTCAGCAGTGCATTCAGAGAGAGGCCCAGGTAAAAGTCAGGCAAGGAAGGGTCAATCCCAGGGTTTTTGCTGGACCATTTGGAAAAGTGGCCCTGGTTTTGCACAGGACTTGCTAAGCCGGAGCAATGTGACCCTAAGGTTCCTGGTGGCCATCTTGCTACCACTTAGGAAGGTGAGCCAGACAGAGGAAAGTGAAGCTGAGAGACAGTCCTGAGGACACTGTTTAAGCTCCTAAATCCAGCAGGGTATGAGGCCCCTGGACTTCCCAGTTATTTGAGCTGTTAACATATTTTTTTGCTTAAGTCCATTTAAACTGGAATTTATATCACTTCCAATTTAAAGAGACCTGACTGCTAGCTGTCCAAGGTGTAAACTGATTTCTAGCAATCAAGACCAAGTATTTCTTCAGGGAAAGAAGAGAAAAAAAAGGCAGGGGGAGCAACCACAGAGAAACCTGAGGAAGAGGCTTGAGCCTATAAAATGCTGCTCTCTATTTTCTTGTTGTTTGTTAACACTATTCCCCTTCCTCCCTCATTACCATGTAATCTGCCTCTACTGCGCTTTCAGCCACATGCCCCTGAAAAGGTGTCCTAGTCATGCAGAATCTTTAGACCACAGTGAGGTTTCCCCCGCTGAGGATCCTTTCCCTGAGAATCCCTCCAGAGACTGTTCAGAATCCCTGAGCTGAGTGGCACTGGCCCTGGGGAATGGTGATCTGGATTCCCCACCCACACTTGGAAAATAGCTCTTGATATAAGTACTCCAGTTCCAGACATCTTCAAACCTTCAGTGGGACAAGCAGCCTCATGCCCTATTCATGTGCCAGGGAGGATTAAATTAGGTTTTTAACGGCCCCACCCTCCACCCCCAAATGGTTTAAACAAGATAGAAATCTATTTACTTCTTCTGTAAATGAAGTCTAGACTTGGGCTTCTTGAAGTTGTCGAGAAGCTAGTATCTCTTCATGTTGTCTTCTCACCATCCTCACTCAGCCGTTGGCATCTACATCCCACTAGCACCTCTCACCCAACCTGCTGCTCTCACTTCCATCATTGGGCAGAGACACTACTGGTATGGGAGGCTGGAAAGACA